CGTCATGTCAAGGAGAGCTTGCTTTTAATACACGCGTTTACAACTTAACTTTACGACTTCAAAGTTAGTAATTTGGGTCCTATAGTGCCCTTGAAGAAACCGTATACGACTTTACGACACCAACATAACAGATTTGATCGCAATTTCCTACGTCAAAGGGTCCCCCAGAGGGACAACTGGTTAATTACAAAATTACAAGTTTATTATAAGTTATATTTTATGCATTCAATTCACATATTGGCCTGTAATAAACTTTGACCTAAATTATATTCGGTTATCTCCGGATATAATAGAGTTATCATATTTCGGGTTTCGTGCCGGAAAAATTAACCATCTGGATGAGGGTAATTGAAGGAGGGGAGGGCAATAGAGGTGGTAGGCATGTGAATACCAATTCTATTGTCCTCTATTATTATTTTACTAAAATTAAATGCTATAATATATATGAAAATCGTGGTATTGTGTTACGAAAATGATCTATATTTTTTCAATGTTATTTATCAAAAAGACAAGAACTGATAAACAAAATACAGGTTTACACTCAGATTACCATTACATGTAAGTTGAAAATTTGAAGAAATAAATTATAATTAAGTTAAGCACCCCGTTTTAAGTATATAATTTTTTATTTGCAACATAAAAAATGGTAATTAGTCAGACAATGGAATAATATAAACTGTAGTAACATTGCTCTTTGTTTCAAGATAATTGGACATGAGCAGAAAGAAACTATATGCAAATTCATAGTTTTAAAAGGCTTAATTAGGTTCCTTTAAAAAATAATTTAAAAATATATTAGAGGTATGTTTCTAGAAATGCATAAGGGGCTAAAAGTGTTCTATGTGATTAAATAATTTTGTCTTTGACCTTTATGTATAATAACATCGAATATTAGCAATGTATGTGTAATTTATTATAACTATAATACATATGAAATAGATATACATATCTATCTTATATAACGTATTCATATATTTTTCTTCACTATTTATATCAAATAAAAATAATTATCATCCTCAGAAAATATATTTATCTTAAAATATTACCTTTCACAAAGTAAAGTTATACAAACGTATAAATGAGCAACAAGCGAAAACGTAGAAATCAATATTAATTATTATGAACTACATCTTCCCAGTAACAATGGAGTAAGCCGAAAGGCTTGTTAAAAAACCGATCGCATGAAAATTAGAACTTTAATAGAATTTCCTTGGCGTAAAATTGGTCGAGGGAAATCTTACAGAAGCACAGGACCGGTTTCGCTTTACAAATTATAACTTGTAACATGAATTAAATTGGTTATTATACAAAAACTACGGAGTAAATTGAAATATTTGGGATATTTAAAATTAAACGACAATAATTCAAATTATTATAAACATAGATAACTTCACTACCACTACACTACATCAAAATCTACCTCGATACACGTATTACTCAGTATAGACAATGATATAATTCTGTATTTCCTTTTGTTCACTGGGCAAAAACTGATGTTTGCTTTACAAAACTGTATTTTTTTTTTACTAATATGATGTAAATATGCATCATAGCGTAGCGCGCGAGGCCAAAAGACATTATATATGTGTCTAACTCACTGATTATGGAATCACCCACAACAAACCAAAATAATTCTAGAATCGATTATAAGCTCTTTTTAGATAAGAAATACTTACATACATATTACGGGAAAATGAGCGATTGAGGTGCTGCGTGCAAATCGTCGACTAAAATTGATACTGTCTTTTTTATCCTATCTGTAATAACTGTCGTAAATGAATATTACTATATAATTTTCTTATTCCCTTGAAATTTACAAGGAATTCAAATATATACTACAGAAAATACAATATACGCAAGCTCTTGAGTAGACTGAATTATGACATCATTTACCCTGGGCCTAGTAAAGGGCAGGGGAATGATAATTTTACCTTAAGTGAATACACGTTACATACGAGTATTAGAGAGAAATATTGCTAATACATTTTCGTGACTTTTTCCATGGGGAGACGAACTTATTTTTGTCTGTAGTCGATAATGGTATAGGATATTATATTTCCTCGTACAATCTTTTTTTAACACTGTGCTGTATTATTATAATACTATGGTACATTTTGCAAGAAGAGGTAATTTATATCTTTAGATTATAAGATAACTATCTCGCCTGGTAAACGATGTGTTGCCATATAAATTATTTCTGGAACGGGCCTTTATAATAATATAATTTAATATATAATACAATAATTTGTTAAAAACAATTCACTTAAAAACAATTTCTTTTTTCGGACTACTCTAATGTAGTTGGCTGCAGCTGGCCTTTACAGCTTTACCGGACGATAGGGGGCGAATACAGATGGCAATCTGAACCCGCGGAAAGACTTATGGAGCGACTGAAAGCCACCTCCTACCTAACGGATACGAGTTTAGTCTAAGGGCACCGCTAGGAGTTCGAACTTCGGCTCAGGCCGTCGTAATTTCGATACCAGATTGAATTGGACGGGGGATCGATCGGAGGTTAGTAACAATGAACTTAAGACTATATACCTGCAATTATAGCATTAAACCTCGTAACTATTTGAGTCCAAAAGTAATTAATTGGGCTGTTATATTTATTACACAGTGGTTTCAGAATACTGTTAATACGGTCATCACCCACTATTATAAAAATAGACTACGGATTATTCTCAGACCTAGATTTTATTTTTATTTATTTATTTAAACTCTTTATTGCACCAGACAAAGAAAACACACAAAATGATGTATTACATAAACTGATACAAAAGGGGGTCTTATCCATAAGCAATCTCTTCCAGACTACCAGTAGGGATAATAACATTAAGATAAGAAAGGGGTAGGTGGTGCACGTAATGAACATAAATTTATACATATACATTTGTACATTATATATCTATTAATATATATAATAAAATATAAACATACGTATACATACATATACTTAATAATGCACATATTTTCAGAAAATATGAGGGGAACTAAGAGACAAAGAGGACAATATGGACTTAAAGAGAAAGAAAGTGGAATTTGACAGACTAGTAATAATACACCAAAAATTCTATAAGCGTAGTCTAATAGCAATACTCGTAATTTTTTATACTCATGAGATATATAGAACTATGCAACTATAACAAACTTTATTAACAGTATAAATGCAAAATGATGTTTGTCTGTTAGCTTTTTATGGGTAAATAACGGACTATTTCTCAATTAAATATGGCTTGAGGATAGAGCACAGAAATAAGATATTTCCCGACTTCCTGCTAGTGGTGTCTCGGTATACAAGCAGAATTATCTAAGAAAGAGTTTTTTAAACCTCACTGGAACAGGACAGTGCGTATATCATATAAGGAAAATATTTTAGAAAATAACATATTATTTGATTTATCGTCGGACATTTTACTGAACTACCGGACGGTAAAATATTACTTGTATCAACAAATATCAATATTCTCCGTAAAGGGTCAGGCGAAGCGAAGTAGGTACAAATCTATTGATAGAATGATATATCGAAATAAATGATAAAATGAAATATTATTATGTATGAGTAACTCGCCTGAGTAGTCCTATCCAATTTTGTTATAAATTGCCTCGGAAATAATAACTCAGGACATTTCACACAGTTCCATATATTTCCAAATTAAGCAGACCTTGTAAGCTTGTAATATGAGTACTAAAGTTATTGTAAATATATATATATATATATAAATAATATACTACAAACCCATGAATTGCATATAACGTGGGATTGAATCCTCAACCATCGGAAGTAAGACGGAGTTCTAAAAGACTTCACCACCGAAATCATCGTATTAACATTCAGCATATAATAATACACTAAATCATATAAATATAAATCATGCCTAAAAAATCTACATTTTATATATATGCCGTTAAATCCTCACGTAAAAGTTAAAAAATCTTAGATCTAAAGGTATATGATTTTAATCTTATTTATTTTAAATTACTATTGATAATTATTATGTACCTACGGTGTATACCTATATATAAAATAGTCACTGACCCGGCAGACGTTGTCCTGTCTTATCACAATTCACATTCGTAAAGATAATAATTCCGCGCAACTTTTTAATGTCTTCCTATATAAGAACCTTCTCCTGACCAAATACAAACTTACAAATACACCAAAAAAGAATTATCGAAATTGTTCACGCGTGTCGCATAACGCAAGGGAAATAGGGATGTATTTTTATATATGTTTAAATGTTAAATGATGAAAGGGTACTCAATTTCATCCATAATTTACTGTATTACTTTTAATACAAATTCAACATAATCATGAGAATTCTTTTATGAAGAAAAAGAACTGAAATATTTATTAGATGAAGAACAGGCTTTTAAAAACAATTTTACTTGTAAATCTTGAACTTTATTATTATTAAAAGTAAGGAAATGCTCATTTTCCTGGATCATTGTAATGAAAAGGTTTTTACCAGTGTGCTACTTATAAGACGAGTGGGCCCTTTCAGGTGGCATTTTATCGATATTAAAATAGAGTGCTGTCTTCTTAGAATAAACCCAATGCTTTGAGTATATTAAATCAATATATTAAAAGCAATTCGGTCTATATCGAGACGGATTAAGACTACATGCGTAGGTAGCGAATAAAACGATCAAATATATTTGTCCAATACAGAACATAACATTTTTTCATCCCTTTTTAATAAAATTTACCCAGCAGTTTAATATATACTATAACGATTATGGTCTTATAAATGTTGTACTTACTTTAATCAATTTCCAACTTAAGGTAGGTTAGGGGTAGGTAAGGTAGGTACTGAGGTATCCTATTACAAACAAAAACTATAGTGCTTTTTGTTTGATAACATTCAAATTCAAATCCTTTATTGCAACATTTTTGAAGTGTCCTGGTGTCCTATATTTTTTGTCTTAATAAATACAATATCTTTCCTTCTTGAGTCGTATAAGATGGTAATATTTAAGTATGTTTTTTTTTGTTACAGTTTCGGGAATGTCGGACGTATGGGTGGAACTGCGTGCGCCGCGGTTCGTAGTGCATCGCAATAGCGCCGTGCTTAGATGTGAACACAATGTAGACCCAGACTCTCTATATAAGGTATGTAATCTTTATAAGAAATAAAATGAGGTTGATGTGATATAATTATCGTCCCCGTCAGTCAGATTGAGAATACATTATAATGAGATTGTAGTCAGTTGTAGACTATCTGACGGTGGATTTTTATGAATGTAAATGGTAAACAAGCTAGTCAGCTTCATTGCTTTCTATCGACAACTTAAAATAAATACAAGTTAAAATCGTTGCCTACCTATACATTTCATAAATAAATGAATATATTTCTTTAGTTTGTCAGTAGAGGACAGTTCTAAACTTAAATGCTGTCGTGAATGTTTTTTTATAAGAGAAGCCCTGTTATAACATATGTAGGTACTTAAAACACTCCCTATGATAAGCTTTAGCCGCTGAAATATATATAACGTATTGCAATAAATTTTCAATGCTCTCAATAGTTTATTAGTGAAATTTATTAATAAATCTAACTGAGCGACACTGTCCGTGACATTTGAAAAAATAATAATGTAGGTATATATACCATATATACTAACATGTTTTTTGCATCCACGTACATAGAATGAGTTTTTTTTTAATTTTAAATGTATGTAAATGAGCTCCAGAGCACCTTAGGATATTCTGATGGTTTTATTAGTTATAGCCGCATCTGTCTTGTAGAAAATCGGACAAACTCTCCCATGAATTGTCTCAGTTTGAAATTTTAAAAGTTTCTATTGAATTATTGACCTCAGAAATATTACATTTAACAGAACGAAGCTACGCTTCTAGTAATGATCCACATTCAACCGCTAGAATTTTATACTTCAATTTTTAACTCTTCTGAACAGAATGGTAATATTAAATTTAATAAAAATCGAGGACCTGGCACGCCATATCTAAAATATCACTTCGTGAATTAATAGTTATCTATATATAAAATTTAAGTGTGTGTTTGTAATTTCAAATTAAAGTTTTTCAATAAGTGTATGTGAAAGTTATATATACTTAAAAAATGTTTGTCTGTTTGTTCTTGTTAATCTCTGTAACAACTGGAGCGATTTTGACGGGACTTTCATTTACAAATAGTTAAGTAGTTAATAAAAGATAATTAGTTATAAAGAGTAATTAAGGCTACTTTTTTTATAAAATAACAATAAAAATTTAATTCCATACGGAAAATCTTGAGTAACAGCTAGTTTGTATTATAATTCACTTTATTCATAAACATTAAAACATAAATAATAATTCGAATTATAATAATTAATATAATTCAAATTAATATTTCTCACATCCAAATTTAGAAAATATGTGGATCATAAGAAGCGAAAAACGATTTAATAGCCAAAGTTAGTCTATAAGATATTTTCATCAAAAAAGAGTAATAATTTACCACAATTGTCTGTGATTTTCTGTTGCCTTGCAGCATTTTAAGTTTAATATCGCTTTACAAAATAGGTTCCAATATTTTCACTGGCAATAAAGCATCCCTCTCCATTTAAGCCTTAAAAGAATTTATATTTTCAATGAAAACATTCTTTCATGCACTTGTTTCTAGAATGGTATTTTATTTTAAATTCACTGCGTTATTGTAAACTTGAGTATGAATTTTATGTATGCATTTTTAATAACGTTTCATGCCATTTCCACATTGTAAATTCAAGACATTTATTCGACTTCCGCTTAAAATTCTTGTTCAGTTAGTTATTTTGCCTTACAGAACTATAAAATAACTTCAACCCCGGGCACTGTCCGCCAATTATATGGCTTATCAAACAAAGGGATATAAAGTTGTCTGCAGCTGTAACTCGGTTTCTACGATTAATTCTAATGCAAAGTATTTAGGTTTGAGGTTAGGGACGTGATAGTAAAACTACTGAATGGGAAAACCATCATTCTGTCCCATAAAATGGTAATCCATAATCGAGGACTTCGTAATAGCATTTTTAATGTCGTTGAATTGACACACAAGCTCACTGTAATAAAGTATATAGGATGTAACTGTCACTTACTTATATGAACAGCACTACGTTCATCACGTAATCATGAGACACCCGTGATGTCATGCCTCTTTTCCCGAAGTACCCGTAGGTGAGACAGTAGTCTCACTAGTATTACACGAAAATCTCTATTTTGAAGATAAAATAAATGCTCATGTTTCTCGCCAATGATGTAGTTTTCAATAGGATGTAATATAAAAATATGTTTTTAAAGTCAAAATTATTAAGTTTATCCATTATAATAATAATAATGATAGTCCAGGATAATTCTCACAGCGCTATCTTCTATCTTCTTCTTGTTCTATGTTATTCTTCTATCGTCAAATTCAAACGGAGATCGAAATTACGACGGCATGAGTCGCGATTCGAACCTATCTAGCTAGCGGTGTCCTCAGACTAAAGTATCGTGTCCGGGAGTTGGCCTTCATCCGCTCCATAAGTTCTTCCGTGGTTTGGAATACCATCTCCATTTGCAGCTGTGGCCCACAACATTAGAGTAGTCTGAAAAAAAGCGCAACCTAGTCTTAAACTAAGCGGAGCTTTTGTTGTTGATACTAGACAACTGATATAAATACATAACATACACAGACATTATCCAGACAATATAAAAACAATCATATTCGTGAATACAAATGTTAGATTCGTGCGAGGAATCGAAGCTGCGACCATTGGAAATAAGGCGGTTTGCTAATAATAATATAAATAAATAAATCAAATTAATCTTTCATTGTTACAACGTTACCTTAGTTATTTATTACATTATTCACATGAATTATCCTGTTGCCGAAAAACCTTTAATAGGCCAGAGTTACCGTTTTACAAGTGGACTGTTTCGTATTTCTTATACTATACGTAACTGTATGGAAAAAATATATTAAGAGAAAACACTTTACTTGGGTAAGTAACTAAAAGAAATGATTTTTTTTTAATTCAACATATACACTTTAATGCAGTAGTGTCTTTAAACCATATATTAAAATGAAATATGTATTTTTCGTTTTATAAAAAGTTGAGAAATATTTATGTTAATTTAAATGTCTTTGATCAATTAAAGAAAAAGGAAAATTCCTTTTAATTATAATATTTTATTCTGTATTGTGAGAATCATAGAAAAATAAAGTTCTCGCTCCCTGTATCAACTTTATTCAACAAGATTGCCTTAAAATTCTAATTATATTTCTTGGTTTTTTACAAAGTTTAATCAAAGATATCAAGGTAATAAAACTTAACTAGATTTTGTAAAATAAGTATTCAAGTGAGCTCGTGACTCTTTATTTGCAAAGTTTTGTTTATTTACGAGTACTCCCTTATTTTTTACTTCGCTATACTACTACATATACATGTGTCACTACTCCATTCAACGGTGAATTTATCCTTACTAATATATATATGACGGTAACTTTGTTTGGTTGTTTATTTGTTACCCTTTGATACATTAAACTACGCTGTTTGTTACATTTTTTACATATGCTTGTCTAGAGAGACGGTAAACACTAACCGTTAGGTGACCCGCAAGCTCGTTTGTTCCCTATACATATATAATAATATACATGTATACTTCGTATTACGGTCAATTAAAATGATATACCGGTGGAGAGGTAAATTAATTATAAGCAGATAGATAGATAGATAGCAGAGGATATTAAAGTATATAATTTTAATAATAATGAATATAAATCATATCCTTCCTTTAATCAATTCCTTTATATTCTGGAGATAAATTTATAAATTATAGTATGTATATGCCAATAAATATTTAACATGACCACAAATTAGAATTAGAATTAGATTAATTCCATATTATTTTGTCTCAGTAGAACTTGAGAAAAGATTTATATTTCTAGAAACCAACCCATAGAGGGTTGGTTATTATAATTTATCGTGAATAAAAATATTCCTTATTCCTTATTATATTTATCCTTAATTGTTGAAGTTATATTACTATTACTATTTTTAGATCTTTTCATAAGAAGTCTAAAACAAAAATACCTTCATGTAACGAGCAATTTATATTAATTAGCATTAAGAATAATTATATCAGAACAATATCAATGTTTATATTTAGAAGAACAAGATTCATATTTATATATAGAACAATAAATACAGAGTTCTATTTTAATCATATTAGGTATTTATAATATAATTAGATACGAACAAGGAAAAAGAAATCTTTGACAATATTTTATTTTTACACAAATAAATAAAATGGACACCAGTGTATCAAACAAACAAAAGAAAACGAAAGAGGAAAGTGAAAAAAAAAATTGTTCAAATAATAAGATTAGTTACTGAATATAGGTACTTGACGGCCTCGGTGGTCTAGCGGTTTAACACACCGTTTTACTTCCGATGGTCACGGGTTTGATACCTCGCACGATGCCAACATTTGTATTCAAAACCATAATTGTTTGTATTGACTGGGCGTTTTCTGTGTATATAAAAAAATCAATTTAAGTATTACTAACAATTATTTACTACCATACAATAAGGTCTGTTTAGCTTGGAACTTGATGCCGCTCTGTGAATTTTCCAGAGTTATTATTATACGCATAAGGTAATTTTTTTTTTTTCGGACTACTCTAATGCTGTTGGCCGTAGCTGGCCTTTACAGCTTCACCAGACGTTAGGGGCGAGTGCAGATGGCACTCCAAACCCGCGGAAGGACTTATGGAGCGGCTGTAGGCCAACTCCTGCCTGACGGATATGACTTTAGTCTGATGGCACCACTAGGGGTCCGAACCTCGGCTCAGGCCGTCGTAATTTCGATCTCCGTTTGAATTGGACGGGGGATCGATCGGAGGGGGATTAATATAAGCTGACTACTGAATCAGATGATTAAACACAAATGTACATTTTCCCAGGTTGTTTTCTTCAAGAATGGCCAGAGAATCATGAAGTTTGTTAGGGGTCGGGATCCGCCCTATGAGCCTTATAACTTCACGGGGGCAGATATCAATGTAAGTAATTATTATTTAAAGTTAAGTTAATCATCATCTACTTATTAATAGGCATGTAATGCGTAAAAATGAAGATCATATCTTAAGGAAGGTGTTACATATGAATGTGGCTAGTTCTAAGGGCAGAGGAAGACCGAAAAAGAGGAAGAGGTAAGAAAGGGAGTAAATAACGATCTGACTACGAATAGGGATGAATGGAAGAGAAAAATATATTACTCCGCCCCAAATAAATAGGATAAGGAAGAAGCAAATGATGATAATCTTATTAAACCTGGCCTCACACTACTAGGTTCAACCTGAATATTGTCCTATAAGCATCTGTTCCGATTGGTGTATTTCCAAAAAGGGCGGGGCGTAAGGCCACATTCGTCAATAAAATGGTAGTCGCCTGGAATGTTTCTCCGACTAAACCTATTAATGTGAGGCTAGATTAACACTTAGGTTATCTTTATAGAATTTCATTACGAACGGTATAGAGCTACTTGTATTAATCAACTGACCGACAATCTAATGCGGTACATTAACGCCATTCGTAGCGCAGTGTTTTGTACATCAAGAGGTCTAGCGGTTTAGCATACCTGTTTACTTCTAATGGTCGCGGTTTTGATTCCTCGCAGGGTACTAACAATTGTATTCATAAGTATGGTTGTTTGTATTTACAATAAAAATGTATCTAAGTATTTGTATCAGTTGTCTAGTAACACTAGCATTGCTTAGCTTGGGTCTAATTCGCACTGTGTGAAAAAAATGTGTACTTAGTTTCGTCATGGGGCCAATTTAATTGTTTTCATTTTATATGTGATTTAGTTTCTTTTAAATTTATTTACATTTAATTACCTAGTGATATATTATAAATTTTGTCATAACTACTACATACTAGTAAATTTTAATACGGGAAAAGTAAACTTCAAAATTACTGCACCGATTTGAGAAACTATTTTACTGTTTGAAATGCTCGATATGCCTATGGGCGTTCATCATATTTACAGGTGACAACATCTCTTACTATTCCATATAAGACAATAGTTGTGATGGTATGGTGATTAATAATTAACTCTTGTATTCTTTTATAGATTTGTATAGCATAATAGTTATGCCTATTTCACGGTTTCACCCTACTTTCCCTTTAAAATGTAGTAATATTTTTCAAGCTTTCCACCAGGGTATGATCCCGTTTATTATATAGACGCTCCACCAAGCACCCACGTGGCCGTTTATAACTCAATTCACTTTTATGAGTGTAACAAATTAGTTGTAAACTCGTGAAAGCCTACCTTATAAAATAATATACACGCCGCTTTTTATCAACTAATTTTCTACAGACTAACGTTAGCTCTGCAGTTGTTTTCTATGTATTTTAATTAGCAAATATGCTGATGGTCTACCTATTGGTAAGTGATAATCCCCGCCTATATTTATAAAAAAGCACTGAATATCACATCATCATGCATCTGTCGTGATAACGCTCGTGCATTTTCATTTCTAAGGACTAAGATGTCATGTAACCTTATCTATTAATTTCATCGCCTTATATCTTATCCATTAAACCAAAACGAGCTGCATGGCGACTGAAATAGTAAAACAGAAATATCTATCTAGACAAAGAGTTCATCTCGAGATAGTTACAGCATCTTCCATCTATCCCATAGAATCATAGGAATAAACGGATGGTTGGATGATGCACTGACAGTATACGCTGGATAGGTTACGATACGATAAAGTTACAAGCTTGAAGATGAGTCAGGAATCTTTTCTCTATTATGCAAGTATACTTACCATTCCTCATCATTCCAATGACTATTCCTCTTAATGATACCCGAATGGGGATCGAAATTACGACGACCTGAGCCGAACTTCGAACCCCTAGCCCTTAGACGATAGTCGTATTCGTGACACAATGGTTTGGTTCAGTCGCTCCATAACTCCTTTAGCGGGTTTTATAGTTCTCTCTATATTCGCCCCTATATTCATTATGTGAAGCTGTAAAGACCAGTTCCAACGGCATTAGAATCGTTTAATAAAAAAAGACTATTGAGCCTTCCAATTTATTGCACCAGAAGTATAAAATAAAATAAAGAACATAAACAAATAGTAAGTAACACACACAATGCAGTCTTATCGCGCAAGCAATTTCTTCCAGACAACCTTTGGGAGAAGAGAGAATAAAGAATTTTATTCTGGTTTATCAATGATTTATATTATTATTACTGATTTATCGAACAATATTAAGTACATGTTGTACATAAGTCACATGTATATGTAATGTACACCACATTGTGTTTATTTTTTCTTATTTCTATTTTTCTGTTTTAATTTAAAACTAAGTACATGTCAAGGTAAGATTACTGATAATGAGGCGAAAGCATAATCGATGCAGATAAAATTCACGGCTAAAGGCCAGTAATCTCATTACGACAATAATGATTGATGAGAAGGGTAGGCATCGTTATTTCTAGAAGCGATAGAAGAGATCTCTTATTTTATTAATTTGAGAACATGGTACTTAAACGCGAAATAAACTTCTATAGTTCTATAATCTTTTGTTGTAATATGAAAGTGAAAGTAAATTTTTATATTTATATTATAATATATAAAAAATATTAATAACTATCTATATTATATTCCAACAATAAGGTTTTTCAACAGTTTTTATTAGTTTAGTGTTTCGTCCCATTTTCTTATTTCAAGAAAAAAGTGGTTAAGAATAGAACATAATAGTTCAATAGACAAAGACTTCTCTGAAGATTTCCTTAAAAAAATATATATAATAATGAATTTTCTTAGCGCTTAAAAACCACTTAAAAGTTATTAAAAATTTCTGCTGTAACTACTCAGTAGCCATTTAAAACTTCAATTTTGCTTGTTATAGCAGAAAACAGCACCATCAGAAAGTCAATCAAGATGGAAGTTTCTCAGCTTTAGTATAAAGCTAATAAAAGTTCAAAACGTTAAAAGTATGAAATAACGGAATAGAACGGATTTGAAGCTTCTTGAAATAACTTCATAATACAATCTTAAGTTGTTGAAAAGGAAACTTATAATCTGACGGTACAAGAAAATGTTTCATTGAATACCGTATGGATTAGACGGCTAAGACTGGGAGATTATGAGCTACGAGATTACACCAAGTTGTTACAAAACTGGCTCTTCATCCAACAATATAATTTCAGAAATAAAACTCTATGATGTTTTCAATAATAACGTAACTTCACGACTGTTATGCCAGATGAAGTAAACAGAGGCGTTATCAACTGTCGACATTACTGGATGCAATACTTGTCATTTCTCTGGGTATATTTGATGAAGTTTCATTTATAATGGCTCATTGCTAACAATGTGCTTTGGCAAGTTTACCTCCACAACTCACTCTGGAACGACACTCTGGAAACCATCATGGTTCAGGCCTGGAGAATTTATCAGAATCGATTTGACGTCCTGCTCATCCTGGCATCGTCCACTAGTTCTCCACCTATGTATAACGTTATCGCACTATTCCATTTTTGGCCCTTTAAAGAAACCATTGTGTAAGTGTACCGTCGACTATTAAATCTAATTTGACAAAGACCTCTGGTGTTCATCAGATTTGAACTCAGTCAAGGTATTCTATCACTAGACCACGACGCTCTTCTTATGTTTTTGATGTCGTCAATTATGGTTTCAAATATCATATGAATCTGTAGTCTCAGTTTTTCATCTATTTGCAGTTTTCTCATGTATGAGTCTATTTAAATTTAAAACCACGTACAGTGTGCACATAAATATGCAAATGTTCGTCTGGCTGTCGCCTACAACTTACAATATTTTCACATAAATTTCAAACGCTCAGTAAAGTGAGAAAAATTGTTGAATCATTTTAATATCTGTTTTCTAAAGAAAGTTTTAGTTATGCAAAATATATCACAAGAAAAATAGTATTTATATTAATATCATTAAAGCTTATATGAAAAATTATTTAAAAACTACAGTTTAATATGCATTTTGAAGTCCTTTTGAAGTCTGAACTTGATTAGACATAGTGTCTGTTTGTAACATTGAAATAACTTTTTAACGTTTTTACTACATGCATATGAATATAAATACGGTACATACACCAAAATATCATTTTTTTTTATTTTTGTCTGTCTGTTTGTTTGTTCCGGCTAATTTCTGAAATGGCTGGACCGATTTTGATGGGACTTTTATTGGCAGGTAGCTGATGTAATAAAGAGTAACTGAATCTACTTTTATTTTAGAAAAATAAAGTTAAATTCCACGCAGACGAAATTGCGGAAACAGCTAGTAAACTATAATAATACAATGAAAACATTTTTAGCTATATTCTTACATAATAAAAAAAATAGTCCCGGCCACTGTCTGTACGCTTATGTCTTTTAAATTACGCAACGGATTTAATAAAATTTTCAGCAATAGGTCAGAGTGATTCAAGAGCAATTTTTATATGCTTAATACATATACGAGTACACACTCAATAAACCGATTTCAAAATTATTTTAATTTTACATTGTTATATTTATGAGTTACATTTTATTTCCAAAAACTTAGAAATATCAATAATTGTTTCACCCATGCGACAGCTGGGTTAATTGCTACATAGTATAAAACAAAGTCATTTTCGCTGTCTGTCCATCCCTATGTATGCTTACATCTCTAAAACTACGCAAAGGGTTTTGAAGTGGTTTTTTTAATAGATAGAATGATTCAAGAGGAAGGATTATATATAATACATGTACATCCTGGCGAAGCCGGGGCGAGTAGCTAATCGCTAATATGGCAAAGTCAGAATGACTAATTTTCATACGAATTAAAGTGTAAAAATTATTAAATATCTAGTACGTATTATTTTAAGGTTGTGCAATTTTAGCTAAGAATTCGCTAACGTAACGCGGTAGCGAATTCCATTCCAACGTTATGTATAAGATATAGGACTCATGTTACACGTGCGAGAATGTCCATCGATTTTAGTGAGAATTTTCATCGATTTTAGTGACGTGCCGGACAGCGATTCTATCTAATGTACCGCCACGTACCTACGTCACTGTCGGCGTATAGATAGGAATTTTGTTTGCACCACCATAAAGGCTTTATAAACATGTTCATTTTTAGTCGAAACTTCTACTCACATTTCAGGATACAAAAACTATCGATATCCTTCTATCTCTTTGTACCACAACCGGTTGTGTTGGTGACAACTCGTCAAGATACTATACTGTCTATCTTGTAGGGACAAGTTTTTCTTTCATTTTACGTAAGTCTTTTATTGCTGAATGTATTTGATACTGTAATATCCTTGGCGGTAGGAAGGGTGAGGGTGATGGGATTTATTTTTTTAATGATAACTAATTTCTATTTCTCATAATGATGATTAAGTTAGGTCTACCTTTAAGCGATCTCTCTGGAAATCATTGTTGGTTTTTTAATGGATGAATATGGAATATTAGGTGTGTGTGTATACATTCACGAGTGTGTGTCTTCCTCTGATATTTTTTTTACAAAAATATGTTAACGAGTCTTATTTTTTCAGCTATTTCAATTAACGCCCACATCTATAACGTTAGAGAGGATGGATTTCTCTGCATCCGGACCGTACGCCTGCGAAATAGCTTTAGAAACACCTTTGTACTCAAAAGTATCTAAAATACACGAATTGAACGTAATTGGTAAGTAACAAGATCTTGTTTTTATAATTTAGAGTTTTGTAAACTATACCTTTATTTGTTTCTTACGATAAAATAAGCTTCAATATTCCTTTCATTCTAATACTAAGTATATTATATAGACAAATAAGGTAAAACAGAAGCAATAATTTGGTTCTATTTGAAGTTAAAATAACTACTATTAATAAATACTAATAGCTTGTATTAGATAAAATAATTGGCGAGTACAATACTAATTAAGTCTGGTAATAATATTATTAATAATTAAATATGAAATAACAGAATGTATAATAGTCGATTAACATGATAACGCTAAAACATAACTCCTACTGTAACTCGAAAAATTGGTCACCTATTTTAATAGTACATCATTTTTAATTGAATGTACAATTGGTCAAGCTCTAATCTGTAGTGTGTTACGAACATATAAAAGTATTTTAGATGTGTACTACACTCTCATATACGTTATATTTACCTACATTCCATGTAGCAACCACAAACCATCCTGTACCGATAAACGTCCGGTAGAGTTCAAGGATTTCAACCATATAAGATTTCATATACAAATACAAATCATATACATTTCATATACACATACTAAAGTGAGTCAAAATACTATAATGTACGAGGTCAGAGAACCAAATTTAGCTAATATAAGAGATTTTATCATACTTTTTATTTGTACGCAAAATATTTTTAGGTTGGCAACCCTGGAATAGACTTTTGTCCTTTGAGAGCAATGCGATTGCCTAACACGTTTAATGTGCGGTGTCACATAATTTTATAACGTCTATCTTTGTCGTTACAGTTTTTATTTTATTTTATTATCATAATTAATTAGCCACTATCAAGTAAATAGTTTAATATAAATATTTGACCTACGTACAGAATCGAAACAAAAATTGATCTTATAACAAAATGATTTTTTTTTATTATAACGATGTAGCCTTTAGTTAATACATAATTATTTATGGTAATGTAATAAGTACTTAAAATATAACGAAATATTTATAGACGATAGATTATTTCACAGAATCATATATATCATCATATCTAAACATTCGTTTAGTTTGTTAGAAAATAAAATGCATAATATTTTACATTAGATAAAAAAACTTCTGCAGTACGCACCGGTCGCTTGTAGTTTGATGTTTCCGTCACAGCGGCTCTGTAGCCTCTCCCTTTCAGCTATAAAAGTTTTGATAGAAGTAATAAAATTCTAAATTGTAATCTCAATTTGCAGTTCGCCAGAAACACCGTCCGAAAATAAAAATAAGACACAAAAAGCTTTCGTCCAACGACCACCTGGAAGCGACGTGTCAGAGTGCCCCAGCTCACCCCGCACCCCACCTCACCTGGTTTATAAATAATATGAAGGTACGTACCCATTACATGAATATTTTATGCTAATTCTGGGAACTGGCAGATTTTATAAATGGAACACGTACTATATGAAACTTCGGTTCCTGATTATCAAATGTGAAATATTTTAATATACATTAACCACTCCTTTAAGTAAGCTTTACATATATGCCTAAAAATAAGTTATTAATTATAATAAACACAATAAAACCCACTCTGTTTTACAATAAAGTACTCTGTAGTCTCATTGCAGAGAACAAAAATTCACTACCCGCTTCAATTGGCAGCAGCTTCTTCGCTTCTTCGCTCTCTTTGCTTGTAGGGCGGGATACCGCTAAAGTAGTAAAACTACAGGATAGAAAGGCATACTTGTATGAGGGATGATGCAGTTCAAAACAATAGGCGACAATACTGATTGCCATCAGCTTGATTCTTATTAGAATCGCATAAAAAACATGGTCTTAATATCCTCCATGTTAACCATGGAAGCATAGTAAGGCATCTTAATTTCTTTCTTTCAAATGAGGTCTTATTTATACCATAAATAGATAGTGTTATAAAAAAAAGATTCTGATGTACTAAAATGTAGATGTGAATACCAGTACCTACTAACATTTTGTAGTAAAAATAAGATCACATTTCATCAAGAATATTCAAATATACCTAAGAGCATGCCTGCCGGATACTCTTGGATTAATAAAGTTTCTTGCTTTGTTTCAATTAAAAAACTTTACCAGAAAGTATAAAGAAACTACTTCCAATAAAGGATTATTGAATGAATCTTCTTCAGAAGAACAGGAATTTCCTATTAAAACGTGGTTTGGTTCGGAGCTAATTTACTTGACTTTTTAGAGATGCGAAATAAAAAAGGTAAAACGGAACTCTTTGTTTCCGTTGGCAAGTTTAGTCCTAAATTTACCCCAATTCTAAAGTAAACACATCTCTACTATCAGTACTAAATATCTGTTAGAATTTTTTTTTTTTGCAAATGCTTAGATAATATACCTACACATACCTACACTAAATAGTAAAGAAATGTAATAGCTATATCACTGTTTTAAATACTAGCCTAATATAAATGCAAATAAAAATTGTAAATGTTATTTTTACATTTTATACATTTTTCTTCGTGGTATACGATGATCACGTTTGATTATGTCCATCAATTCGTCTGATATACACACATTTTTAATATTTAATATATTAAAAATGTGTGTATATATTTGTACAAAATACTCATTATGTAAAGTAGAACTTGCACTAAAAGAGGTTTTTTATTTACAAATTTAAATGAGGCAATTTTAACTAACTAGACATAGTACCGCGTTTTAACTTTTAGCTTTACCGGTTGTAAGGGTAAATGAAAATTTTATGATACAAACCTTTGTTTCGTAGTACATTAAAAGTTTGTGGGTAGTGCTTTTAAGACTCGAAATTAAAATTAAACGAAATACAAGAATAATTTTATATTAAAGTAGCCATTAACCACAAATTCTCGTGAATTTTTGAGATAAAGGTTGCCTATGTCCATGACACAATTTCGTAACTTAAAGATAAGTCAATTTTGTTTATAATTGTGAAAAGATGTCAAGTAGACACATAAAAGGTCATGTTCTAACATGACATCTATAATTGATGAGCCTATGATTACACTATTTCGGATAACATTCGTGACAATATGTTTTTTGTATATATGTTTTAGCTTAACTACTTGATTGTTAACATAGGACCATAAAATGTGATTTGCGTGTATACCTATAGATAGATAGGTAACACTTAATAATTTCCTTCACCTCGTTTATCAGTTACTTAGAAACGTCGACTACATTATATCGTAAATAGTAAATAATTCAATAACAATTTCTCAATATATAGGTTTCAAAATTATTATTTATTTATATTGTAAACCGTGTCTTTACACGAATGGTGGTAAATAAAGATTCGAAGTTTCGTCTAGGTTGCACTAGCCATGGCCTCGAGCTGACTGGTTGAAAAACCTCGAGAGACATAAATATCTTTAATTATCATAAAATTATTCATGTTAAGATCCGATTAACAATATAAATAATGTGTATTAAACACGAAAGTTTACAAAAAAATTGTTGTATATTTAATATATATTTAATTTGTTTTAGATTTGTATTTCCATAAGTCATATTATACTGTGTGAACTGACACAGCTTTGACAAACCAAATTGTAGCTATAATATAAGCTAGTGGTAGGTACTTGCCATGCCTACCCTATTTATATTGAAAGCAAGTCACATTAGGCAAATTATAGTTACCCCCGGGGGTTCCTTCAAGGGCCTTGCCCGGTCGGAATGAATGAAGTTTCCAAACTCAGATAATCATTTAATAGTAATTTATTTATGTTTAAGATATTCTCGGTTTCGATTGGTTATTAACAAAATATTTATAAGTCATTTTCAATAAATATTTATGACCTTGTAGTTGCAGTGGTTTACGTATAGCCTCATCTTTCAATAGTCGCGATACAATCCTAGAATAATATTGACATTATGTTAAGTATGACTCTTTTTTCTAACTTGTTCTATTGTTTGGTGGGTATTTTTTTATAAATTAAATCATGGAATTAATTATCTTCTCCGACTTCACATGGATTCATATATTATTATAGTAAATATTTATTTTTAAACTTTCGCTTTTACTAATTATATTGTTACCAGTGCCTTTAAAAGTGTTTTAACATGTATAATTTTATGGTAAATTAAGGTATTTACCTCTCTCGACGTTTCGACTAAGTTACATTAGCCGTGGTTGAGTTGACTTGAGTAAGCTCGTATAATAATTGTACGAGCTTACTCAACGTATATTATTTTATTTTATAATTATAAAAAAATATTATTTTATTTTATATAATTATAAAATATTATATTTCGTAATTTTTATCACTTTTTCATTATCTGTAGGATCAACTACATTTAATTTTCAATATGAATATAGTTTTAGTGTTGACCAGATCGAACTTGCGACCTTTACACACAGGTAGTAAATCACTAGACAAGGAATCTGATCGATAATTATAAATTACTTATTTGTCTTATACACATTCTTTATGTATAACAATAAATGAATGAGCCTCGATCACCTAAATGATACAATATCGCCCACTTATAAATTATGTATGATGTAATGATAGCTAAAACTTTTATATCGACCGATAAGAAATGGAATAAGCCATGGAAGAAAACTATAATACCAATTTATAACTTCATGTATCTTTGTATTTGAAATCTCTACTAAGTGCTAACTAATGTATATATACTAGTAATATATAATAATAATAGCCCAGGACACAAACTACACAGGGCCATCTAGCCCCAAACTAAGCAGAGCTTGTGTTATAGGACCCCTATATCTGTCCCCTCCGATCGATCCCCAGTCCAATTCAAACGGGGATTATGACGGTCTGAGCCGAAATTCGATCCCCTAGCGGTGCCCTCAGACTAAAGTCGTATCTGTCAGACGGGAGTTGGCCTTCAGCCGCTCCATAAGTCCTTCTGCGGGTTTTAGAGTTTCATCTGCACTCGCCCCCTATTGTCCTGTGAAACTGTAAAGGCCAACAGCATTAGAGTAGTCCGAAAATAAAACTAAATCAGTATGTAACTCAACAAAATGCTATTGACTTTGTTATGAAGTATCGGAATAAATTTACAAAAGTACTATAGTTATAATACAGTTGATATATAAAATATCAACTGTATTTAAATTCGTAATATCAATATAATTTAACGTTAATGTAAAATGGCGTTAATTTTTTTCTCATAACAAACTTGTTTGTTATCTTTATTAAACAAATAAATTTATATAAAAATTAGGAAACACTGTGGAAATTTCATGTTTTCAGATTAAGCGGTTGATTAGTTAGTCGGCCAGTTTTTCCTTACGTTTATATTATAATTTAGTACGCCAAAAGGAAAGGTTAGCGAAATGGAAAATGAAAATGATTACTTTCCTCTGTAAAATTATATTTCCGTATTTTACATCACTTGCTTCTTATATAACAAACAAAGAAAGAAAGGTAAATAACAATTTATTGTTGATTTTTAAATTAGGATTAGAGACATAATAATAAGATTCAATGTTAAAATAATATTCATAACGATTTGAATCATTATTTCCGGCCACGGCGGTCTAGCGGATGAGCACACGGCTTTAAATACAATGGTCGCTGCTTCGATTTCTCGAAAATGTACAAACATTTGTTGTCATGAATATTATTATTGATATTGGCAATTCGCTATATATGTTACATATATAATTAAATTATTTTTTTTATTGGGGCTTGGACTATTATCGTGTGCTTGGGCCTGTGGCACTGTGACCTTCATAGATCCATTGTGCTTTTTACATAATTCGCTTAGGAGCGATAGTTTTTATATCCTCAGGATAGAGTGTAAACTTTCCAAAGGAGATATTACGCATATTCATAAGCATGAGTGAGCTACAGCCACATAGGATGTGTAGTTTCCTCTTCAGTTTGGCAAAATCTGCAGATTTTTGTTGTACACAGGCCTAGATTTGTCATATGTTTTTTTTTAATTTGCAGTATCCTGTGATTCTAGTCATCATGAATATGTTTTCTTTTACTCAATACCAATAATCTGTTGGAGTATTTGTTCGAGTAGCCGAATATTACGGCTTTTGAATGTACAAATCCTACCATTTTCTGCCAGTGCTCTTAGTTGGTTATTAATTTGAAATGTTCCAGTTTTGGGCAATAGATACTGAGATACCCATGTTGACTACTTCTCACTATGTAGCTGTGTATGGTCCTTACATGCAAACTTCCTCACAGTTGACCCCTGGTGACGCAATATATGATATGAATAGAAAAAGGTTATTGTTAGGATACAGTCAATCAATACTAAATTATAAAATTGGTATTTATTGAATTATTAATAGGTACCAAATTGCTTTGGTTTGTGATTAAGTATGTGGATATCGGTTGATAACCTTGTTGTGTTCTGTTAATGGAGCTGCAAGTTTCTTAAGATTTTAAAAACAATTAGAGATTTTAGTCGACAAAATGGAGAGCAGAGATATATACTTTTATATATCAATAGTGATATTAGTGTGTACTACTTGTATAGTATACAAATACACAATCTGTGATGAGAGTCGAATGTATCAATAAAAAAAATCGGTTTAGAATTGACGAATCATCACAAATTCTTAATGTTTATTAAATAGGTAGTAGCTGCAATAAATATACAACTGTATTTTTTATATAATTAGTATGAGGAAACTGACGGCAGGCATGATGGTAAGTGGTAACCGTTACCTATGTAGGTACAGAACAACATTACGATATCACGTTATCATGTGACGCCCGTGATACCAATCATGCGTTGCACTAAGATGTTATTCTTATTATTTCACTTCTTTTTACCACTCCCTAATAAAAAAAAACAGATTCAAAAGCAAACTGTTAGATAAGGTACCACTGACTACTAACTTCAGCCACCTAGACTATTTTTAACTAAGTCTACCTAGCTGAAATGTATTTTATTACTAAATTTTTACTAATTACTACTATTACCCTATTTCTATTCCGTATATCATAAGACCATTGATTCGTTCTTTTCTCTTAAGGTTGAATTTGATGTATTTAGCTATTTACAAAGACCATATGTTCTGTTTAGGTGGATGAACGACTAACAATACCCCATGGAACCGTGAACGTCCACCGTCATCATCACGGGATGCCGCTTTCTGTCACCAATTCATCGCTGCACTTCCCCCTCGCTACATTGCAGCTGTACCCTAACCAAACTATTGATATCACATGCTTGAGTACTATACCCAGTTACGCAAATGTGGGTGAAGGTTTTGCGGATGTTCAAAACCATACAGTCACAGGTAAGTTTTTTTATATCACGTAGGTGGCAAACAAGCATACGGCCCATCTGATGGTAAATGGTCACCGTAGCCTATGAACGTTCTTAATTTAGTTATTTTTACACTTTCGCGTTTGATATACATTGTTTATATCGTTAACCGGGTCTAACACGAATAATTTTACATTGAAATTGACACTTCTATTACTCCAGTCAGTTCATAACTACGTCTAGTGCAATCTAACCGAAATGTCTAAAATAAACAGCTAAATACTATAGGTACCTCCTTTTGCCATAATTCGGGTTAATATCCGGTTAACAATATAAATTAGCCCTTTATTTAACAGAGAAATACCTGAACGACCGAGCTTTGTTTCTGGACAATATTTTATGGTCTTTATTCTGGGTAAACTTCTGCGTAGATAGATTTTGAAAAGCACCTATCAATATAATTTTAGCCACATTTATATAAATAAGTATCTTCTCAATTCTTACTTATACAGAAAAAAAGACTACTTGTAAATGGAACGTAATTGAAAAGTAACTAATATTATGGGTTAATAGCTTACGTGGCTAAATGTGTTAGAAAGAGATAGCTATACAAACCTATATCCCCCTAATTACGCAGTTTGGGTGTAACATTACTTCGATGCTAATTGCAGAGACTAATTAAATTAACTAATTTTAGTGAAAATATAATACCACTACTCACACCCTCGTGAGTAATATTGTACGTAAAGTTACAGTAAAATCGATCTTATGTGAACTCATAAAAGTATTATATCTAATCAACTGTAATATCGAAATATTTTTTTTAATTGCACTGTTTAAAAATTCCCTCTAACCACCCCACTGCAAACATAAGCCTTTTTACATTATCGAATCCGTCGTATAACTAAGGGGAGTGTCTACAAACAAATTGCTTAATTAATTTTTCTTTTTCAGTGAACGTGGTTCGGTTCGAGCCCACGCCTACGCAGTTGCCAGTTAAAATTGTTAGCGAGGAACTAAATACGTCGTGCCGATGTAAAATTCACCGCTTAGTCCTAATAGCATTATTATTGGTGTGCCATTTTAGCTTCTAATTCACTGGTGTTGTTTAATAAAAACCCAAAAATTTTACATACCCTTATTGTACAGATAACCCAAATAAGTTTTAAGGTTATCATTTTAAGTACTCAAAATATATGTGTATTTTTTTTATGATACTTATACGTATATGGGTGGATCATACCATAATGAATCTATTATTAGTAAGATAATATTAAAATAATGATTTTTTGGTACAATATTTTAAATATTGTGATATTTAAGTTTCTTGCCATATCACTGATATTCGTAATATCATTGATATCATGATAAAAAAAAATATGTAAATATATCTGTTATGATAAAATATATACATGAGTCTATTTATATTTCCTGCCTAAATATTCTTTTTTAAATTCACGTACATGAAATATCTAGTGACGAGAAAAAAAAACAAAAAATGTAGTAGGTAGATGTTTATTTATAATGGATCAAGTAATTTTTGTTTTTGAAATAAGCATGTCATGGTTTTATGCTTATTACAGTTTAATGGTAATATTAATGCTGTAAGTTTTTTGAAAATCGTTATATAAATCTGACAACACAAATATTCTAGCAATGTGAACGTTATATAGAACTTTTTTTTATTCCGATTTCATTCTGAATTACCTATGTAAATTAATATTATGTTTACATTTATTGTGATAGTGCGTTCAATTATTTAAAAAATAGAAACACCTATAGATAACTATGAGCTTCGCAGCTTTTTTATCTCCTTTGTAAATTAACCTTTTAATTGTGTATGCGCAATAATGAGACTGAATTAGAATGCTAGGGTTTTATAATTACCTAATGTTGACAACCCTATAACCAGTTGCTAGAGACCCTTGTCCAGTATAGTGTAAATTGAGGCCAAAGCCTATATAAAATGAGGAATGAAATTGCTCGATACGACATGGACGAATGTCACAAAAAATCATAAATTAATAAATTAATTATAAAAACATACATATTATACATAATTATTTAGAAATAATGATAATTGAACAATTATTTATTTTAATGTTAATTATTATAATCACCTTATAATTACTCATTACTTGCTCCTTAGGCATTCATTTATTTATACACAGAGATAAAATATTTTCTAATTATTAAATTAATTAATTTAATGTCACAATATATATATAATACTTTTTATATTTTTTAATAAACTAATTTACCCTTAAACATCTATTATATTATATACACGAAGAAGACATAATATAAAATATACCTAATGAATATTAGAGCAAAATTAAAGATTATTGCAAATTTATTAAAGTCGTGAATTTCTGATATGTAAATTTAAAAAATGTCTCAAGAATAATAAATAATTTCGTTGTAAATTAATAACTTAAAATCCGTAGATTATTATAAATTAAATTCTTGCAATACGCATATCTGCCGTTTATCTAACTAACACCTTGACATTACTATGTTACTATATCTATTGTAGATAAATTCAAAATTTAAACATTAGTGTTAGTTCCCTGACAGTATTGATATAGGCCTATGAATTACATATATTAACGTAGTCCACATGTACTTTGAAATTATAGATGATTAAATAGTTTTTTTGTTACTCCTCTTTTATCTAATATCTTTACAAAGCATTTTCTTTAGTTGTGCTTCTTTCTAAAGTAAAAAGTCTTAAATGCACAATGTAATAAAGAAATTTCTCTGGTACATTTTGCGTTTTATATAACATAAAATGGTTACGCTTTGTTTGAATCTTTGTTCTTTATATCATACACGTCTTCTTCTTTTTTGACCTAGTCGAGTTTTTTAAATATACTTTAAATATTTATTTTTATGATAGAATACAGTGATTGAAAGTGATTTCATTAACACCATTTCCAATGTTCGTGACATTTAAACAACAAAAAAGTAATTAAAATGGTATTCAAAATGAGAACTAATCTAATAATAATATTTTGAACGGTTATTGTATTACAAGCAGTATTTCATGAGTTAATACATGTTTTAGCTATAAAAAAAGAAAATATAAAATATAATATTTCTGTGATTATATTTGTATTAAATTCATGTATAGAAAATTCGTTTAACTCTTTCATATAACCTTAACTTAAAACTAATAAACATATCCCGAAACAAAAAAAGTGATGAATCACATAGAACCTTTAACTTGTATTCTAAAACGTATTACTAACATATTACTTAAAAAAAGTAAGGAAAATCGTAATGAAATGAATGGCAGCAAATTAAAAAAATAGTCGGTACTTTACGCCGGCAAGAATTTAACAAGTATTGTAATTAAATGTTTCAAACCCCGCTTTGAAAGCGCATCTACATAGCTGAACTGGTTGAAACAATTTGTTATATTACTGCATTGCATACCAACCAAAACTACCTAGTGCTTAATTTCCTCTGTAAACTGCACATGCTTTCAACATTCAATTAAATTTTCTGCAACTATTACACTAGGAGTTAAACCCAGACCATAAGACATTTATCTTATCCTATATTTTATTGACGTTTACATTATGGTGTATAGGAATTATTCATACTCGGAGAGCCGCGGGTTAGTATATATTCAAATCATGTGCCGGAACAAGAAGTGCCTAAAATTGTTTCGGATCTTTATGTATTATACATATTGTGCTCGATTTATGGCGATATTGTAATATTCTATCATTTTTAGAAACTACTCGAATAGTCGTTTTAAGAATGATATTCATAATTTTGTCGTCGATACGATGTTACATGTATTTTTAGCCAAAAATCTTCTTTTTTTTGCTATTTTTAACTTCAGTGAATTTTTTTTAAAAGTACTACAGGAAATGTCTCTAGAGAATCTAGTATATATTTTCTACTATCTTAAATACTGCTGCTATATAGAGAGCGAATTAAAAATTTACTCTTGGAAACTTGGAAATTTTCATTACACATTCTTCATTCTAAGGCACGACAGCATTCTTAAAAATGTTGACTTGTTCTATACATAACTTCTTAGAAACCATGCAAGGAAAATATGAGAATATATTTAAAAAAATAGATGATTTAAACGTGATGGAAGTAACAAATAATGTTACGGGTAAGAAACCTATTTCAAAATACCTGTTCTATACGAGATGTCCATAATAAATGTCTCTGAACTGAACTCTTTATCTTTTCTTTTTCGTATTAAACCTAAAGGAAATTGAGTATTATAGTGAAGACCATCGTGCTGCTGAAGGTATAATATTCTTATAAATTGTTGGTCTTTGCTTTGTGATCACGAATCGTACAACAATAAAAAAACTGATTATATTTATTGAAAAAAATATCTCAATCAATAAAATAAATATAATACTTGTGAAATTATAAAGGTACTTTTTCCATACATTCATTGTGTATCTACTACACTTCTGTTGTATAAAAAATTTACAGATGTGCATAAGTTGCATTATATTGGCAATGATCGGGAAATTTTGGGCTCATTGTGGCAGGTGAATAAGATCACATTATAAATGTTTGTGAATGAATTCAAGATGCGAAACACTATATTTTCTTTAATTCTTTTAAAAAGTTTAGGAGCAATTATGTAACAAAACATATCATGATTAGGAGTGAGTATTTGTAAACAATTTATAAATGTTGTGCATCGGGGAGGCTTTTCGGCGATTTGTTTAATAAGTGTTTGAAATTAAATATGTATATTTTTATCATGTCTGCGTGTCTGTGACAGTCCAGTCACAAATAAAGGCTGTCGGAGCGATTGTTAAATATCACAGTTGTAAAAGATTATATATTTACCCCCTTATTCATAAATATACGCCTTTTTTAAACCGATTAAAGCTAATCGAATGAGTTTGATACTTACTTTAAAATTATTTATTTAGTTAAAGAAAAAGAACAATACAGTTGAATATCTTTATTTTACATTTAATAATATTATGAATAAGAGGGAAAATAAACTACTCATTTATCTTATTTAAATTAATATAAGGAAAAGAAATGCTTAAAGCATAAATAGAAAATATATTTTATGTGTTGTAATATAAGTGAAATTGTAAATGTGAAAGGGCCTAAAGACAGCATAATAATGTGTAGTTACTCTCTTGCTCGTAGCTTCCAAATGGCTTGGAAGAGAGAAGCCATTTAGATAGCAGTAAACTCGAGCAAAGGTTCCCCTATAGATAAATTCAACACATTATCGAAAATGACGATACGTTAAACGTAATACCTGATAAAATAACCTCTTAAACACTGCTCTGATACTGTAGGTACGCTCATTTCGCCTACAGAATATATAATGACATAGATTAATGGAGCTGAACATGAACGCCTAAATAAAATTAATTCATTAATCTTGTAAAGTGATATGAAATGCAAAAATGAAAGCTATTGCTTTCAAAATAATGAATGATATATTAATTTGTCGACATTCAAATCAATCACGAGTGGTGGATGAGGATTTATAAATTAAAAATAAACAAGCGCTGATGGGATTAAAGGTAAGTACAAATATGTACTCTCTATCTACCCCAAATGGAATGGGCATGAGCTTATATAAATAATTTTTATTATCAAGCTACGTTTTGTTCATTAATATTCAATGTTATCTCTATAATTGAAATTTGCGAGGAGATATATTTTGGCAAATTGCATAGGAAACTTATAACATTTAGTTGACTTGACTCTTAATTATTATTTAATTTAAATAGGTATGGTCTATTCACAGAAGATGTTTTATGAATCTTCAGTGATCTTTAGAATATGAAAAATAATGGATTTTTTTGTATATATAATTAAATATAATTTAGATACTGTAATAATAGCATAATCCTATATCCTTCATTGTTCATGTTACAGTATAATTTATTTGATGTTGTTTCTTCCTTTATACGACATTTTAGATTTTTTAATATAGTTTTTTTTTACTGTAAGTTAATTTAAGTGTCCTATTATAGTATAACATATCGGTCTAAACTCTTATGTATTAATATAACTTGGAAACATTTTAGACCTTATTTTTTTATTGTGAGTTAATTTAAGTGTATATGCATGCTGG